TTTTCTACATAAAATATTCAAAATTTAGTTACAGAGTTGTAGTGTGTCATTTATATCTAGGAGACAAAGCAATTGTGAAAGCAGGTGCTCTTGTCAGATGAGACCAAAATGAAGCATTTTTGCCAGCAGGCCAACAACCCTGAACACAACTTCCTCATGATGAAACACGTTGGTGGCAGCATTATGCGTTGGGGATACTTTTCTTCAGCAGGGAGCTGAATGGAGATAAATGCAGGTCATTCCTAGAAAAAAACCTGTTAGATGCTGCAAAAAACACGAGACTTAAAATACTTGTACGTATTGAATTATTGTCCTAATTATATAATGTATGCTCAAATTATATATATCTGTTAAGTTGGAATCTAATTTACTTCTTGAACTACTAGAGAAAAACTCTCTGACACTAACTTAAAACTTGAATTTCTTTGATTTTAAATTTGTAGAGCACAGCTCCATGTTGCTGGTTAACAGGGAAGTAGGAAATCATTCTTGAGGATCATTAGGAGTTGATTTTGGCTATCATTAAAGACATCATAGTAGAGTTGCTCACAGAAATAAAGAGACAGGTGAGAGAAAACAGCTGAGCTCCTGGAGAGGGACAAGGTAGCAGGCAGAGAAGATCAGGGACTTGATGAAATGGAAAAAAGTTCAGAAGAACCAGACCGCTGACAGTTTGTAGGGCAAAGATGATCAGGGAAACGATAAAGAGAGGGCATTGGAAGAGCACACAGAGAAGGAAAAGTCGGATCTCCGACCATTTAAAGAAGGAATCGGAGTGTCTGGGCCATCAATGATTACCTCCATGTGAATTGGACCAAATTCTGTTTAAATTATTACTGCACACTGTGTTACATCTGAATAAAAAAGCACTAATCAGAACAAACAAAAATATTCCACCAAAAAGTGAATTTTAAAAGGAGACTACTTAGCTTCAATCAAATAATTATTTCATTTTATTCTATCAAATATATAACATTTCATGGAAGGCTACAGGAGGGTCCCTCTCAATCCTGTTTAATTCTTTCCCAAGTTCCATTTTTTCCTTTTTATTTTTCTTAATTCCAAATTTTACAGTCAACACATTTTTGTAAACCTGATCACATGAGGCATGTGTAATTTAAACTGCCCAAATTTTGTGACATTAATATAAATATGTTTCTGTAAAGCTCATAGAACTCCACCTACGACCTACTTTAAATAGTCCCTTTTGTTATAAGGTAAGATTATTATTATTACACAAGTTATTATACAATAAAATTAAACAGTCTGACAGCGGTGGGGATGAAGGACCTGCAGTATTGCTCCTTCCTGCACTGAGGGTGTCTCAGTCGGCCACTGAAGGAGCTGCTCAGCTCCTCCACAGTACGGTGCAGTGGGTGAGAGGTTATGTCCATGATGGCTGATGAAGGCAACTCTGGCTTATAGAACAGAACTGTTATAGAACAATTCCAAGTTTATGAACTTAAAATTAAAATTCTGGTCGGGTTCTATCTAACCCACCCACCACTGAAGATGTTCGGGATTTGTTTTTTTACAGCCGATAACCTTTCTTCAGCCTATTCATCAGGACTATGAAAACAGTGCTGTCGTTAGCGGAGCACATCAAGGTAGCCAAACAAGCCTCCTACGTTTACTGCAGTGCACCCTTCCTATATTCTACGAAGCTGTCATGGTGGATTCCATAAAAACTGAAGTATTTTCATTTAGTGCTTTCCAGTTAAATTTTTTTAGCTGCACCGCGTATCTAGACGTGAAAGCCTGGTAGAGATATCTTGCAAAAGCCCTGAAGCTGCAACTGTAGCAAAAGAAGCTTGTGCAAAGATTTGACTTGTGTGGTAGAGAGAATTTAGCTGCTTTTTAATAAATAAATTAAATTATTTTCCTTCTATTTCACAGTTGTGCATTACTTTGTGTTTGTCTATCACCGAAAGTACCATAATCCTTTCAACAGCAGCATGTATGTCTATAAACCAAAAGGGGTACAGTTAAGTGTCCATGGAAATGTAAAATCCAGAGCTAAGTCTCACATCATCCCTCTCCCTGCTCATATTTTCCCAGGATACAAACATTTGAAACTTTGATATATCTGAAGTCAGGAAGCACATGCTAAAGAGAAAAAGGTGAGCAAATATATAAATTCATTAACAGCATTAAATCTCCTGAAGGTCGGGTCACTAAAAAAAAGGTTTAGATCAACTAAAGAGACGCCAGGAGAGTTCTTGTTGAACATAATGATGAAATTCCGCTCAGACACTGAGGGCTCTTTATTTGGGATCAAAGACTTCCTGAGGTAAATGAAACCATGCCGTTATGATGTTAAAAATTAGTTTGAAGTCATTCATTAGTATCAGATCTGAATTTCCTCACTCTCAGTCATGGTCCTTGCTTTAATGAAGCCTGTCTGCTGCAACTGTCTCAGCAGCATCACAGGACTTTGAAGTTTTACTGCCCTAATTGGGTTTATGAAAGTTCTCTGCTTTGCTGCTTGAGCTTATTTAAGTGGAATGCAGATTAAGTTTTGGTGAATTAAATAATATTTATTTTTCGTCATTGGAATTGTACATTCCAACGAAATATGACTCTGCATTTAACCCATCCCTTAGTGAGCAGTGGGCTGCCATTGGTCGGTGCCAGTGGCAGGCTGTGGGATTCAAACCAGGGTACTTCTGGCCTCTCCGGGACACAATTACCCTGTTCTCTAACCACTAAGCCACCACTCCTCCTATAAATAATAACAAAAATAATAGAAAAAAAAGTTGCTGGACTCAAACTAGGGAGCACACACTTGCATGACAGCAGCTCAACCCAGCTTCCCTTGTCTCTTTAGGTGCAGCTATGTCTTTACACAAGTTTAGTATATGAAGACTGAGAGTTGTGGGGGAATTTGTGTCACCCACCTGAAAGTGCTCTTCAAGGTGGAAGGGGACAGGGGGTGTCAGATGACTGACCTTCTGTCCTACAAATACTTTGATGACATTAATATTTGAACCCCTTCTTTAATCACATCTGTATAGCTGGGTAATGTGGTCAGGCTACTCTGTATGTGTGATATGATGAACCAACACATGATGATTATAGTGTACAGCCTAAACCTAATTAATCCTTCCAAAGCCAGCAAACTGGTCTGACCTAAACCCAGCAGGGAATCTATGGTGTTCTGTCAAGAGGAAGATGAGACACCAGAACCAACAATGCAGAATAGCTGAAGGCTGATATTAAAGCAAAATGGACTTCCTTATTATCTTAGCAGAGCCACAGACTGATCACCTCCATGCCACACTGTACTGAGACAATAATTGAGGCAAAAGAAATCTTGACCAAGTACTGCGTAATCGTCTTGTAATTAGAAAGTTGTGGGTTTGATTACAGCTTTTTCCTGCCACATGTCGATGTGCCCCTGGGCAAGGCACTTAACTCCAAGTTGCCTGCCTCCAAGTTGCCGTTTTCAGTGGTCGGTAGGACTAGAAAAACAGTTTATAAATACAGTCCATTTACCATTATTTATTGGCTTCATGTTATGTTCTAATATTCTAAGACCCTTTTGTTGGTTTTCATTAACTGCAAGCCAAATATCACCCAGATTAGGAGAAATAACCAATTCAAATAAAGAACTATTTAATAAAATAGAATATGCTTTCCATGTGAAAATAACAGCCTTTTCATTAAGCCCACTTTTCTGCATTAAATTGTTTTTTTTAGTGGTCTGTTGCCATATTCTAATCTCAAATGTCGTGTTTTCACTGTAAGAACGCTGTAAGAAGAAAATCATCAAAATTAAAAGAACACTAATATTAACATTTTTTTAATGGGTCTGAAGAATGTGTCGGGGCTGCAAGTCTGACATGCCTTGTTGATTTTTATATCATATTTTGTTTTCTAAAAATTCAAGATTAAGACTCTTAATCTCAGGGTTGTGGGTTCGAGCCCCACGTTGGGCGTTCCAGTTTTTCTCTTACTCAACATGTTTGATCCAGAAGATGTTTAGATAGATAGATAGATAGATAGATAGATCCATACATACTTTTCCTTCCTTTGAAGCTGCAAGTTCAGTCAATTTTGTGATCTACCGACTGAGCTAGCCGGGGTGCAAACCTGAATTCTTAGAGTATACTGATCCAGAAGATGTTTAGATAGATAGATAGATAGAGAGATAGATAGATAGATAGATAGATAGATAGATAGATAGATAGATAGATAGATAGATAGATAGATAGATAGATAGATAGATAGATAGATAGATAGATAGATAGATAGATAGATAGATAGATAGATAGATAGATAGATAGATAGACACTTTTCCTTCCTTTGAAGCTGCAAATTCAGTCAATTTTGTGATCTACCGACTGAGCTATCCGGGGTGCAAACCATAATTCTTAGAGTATACTGATCCAGAAAATGTTTAGATAGATAGATAGATAGATAGATAGATACAGACATACTTTTCCTTCCTTTGAAGTTGCAAGTTCAGCCTATTTTGTCATAAGTACACAACAATTTCTTGAGTATTGTGCCACAGACCATATACTGCCCTCACAATTTACGAGAGTTGCCATTAGAAAATGCAGTAATCTGAGGGCCACGTAGCTATTCCTACTTTTTCAAATGCACTAGCATTTTTCCCGTTACTTTTCCCGGGAGGAGGGGTGTGAACTTTTTTTTATTACTCTAGCAATCTTATGAAAATCTACATCCAATGTGCTGTTTGACCCAGTGTCCTCAATTGTACAGTTTTTTTTTTTCATAACTGTACTAACCAGAAATGGAAAAGTTTCTAAAAAATGATATCAGACCAAAAACAACCTCAAACTTGTTGCTGTGGACCATTTGGCCATGTGCTTGTTGAAAGCGGAATAAAATTAGTCGCTCTGTGAATTTTAAACAAAATTCTCTGAGTACAGAAAAAGAAAATTTTTCAGTTGGGAACCTTTAGACATCTTTAAAAATGCCTTTTTGATTTTAAAGACGGTCTGAAGTACAATAACTCATAGGGTTTATAACCGTGTCAGGAGTGGGTTTGAACCCACGCCCTCCTTTTTCAGAGACCGAAAAACCTCTGAAGCGAGTAAGAAATTTAAGCCTTGAGTCTGGCGCCTTCCCACCGGGTCGGCCATCCTGACACCGGAAAAACCCAAGCTTAAGAACTATGTAGGGACTAGGCCGTTTCATTATACCACATTCATTGTACCTGAGTCGTTCTCAAGTTTGCAGTACTAAAAAAAAACCGTTGGTATTTTTAATAGAGCGAAAGCGCAATGAGTAAATGTAGGCCTCTATGAATAGTGTTTAAAAGATACCTGCAAGAAGGGTCTGTTACAGGATAAACAAATTTCCAACAGCTCATGTATTA